GTAAAATTCTTTTTATTTTTTTTCCCCCTTTAGTTTTTTTTTTTTTTTTTTTTTTTTTTTTTTTACTTGAAATTTCATTCAATTCTTTTAAAAAAAATCAAATATCATGTACACCCTTTTAATTCATTAGCAAAAGACTAAAATTTTATTATTTATTTTTTTTGCATTTTCTAAAAACATGGAATTTAAAAATAATCATCTTAATCCGGGCAATTTTGATTTGCCTCCGTGACCAGCCCTCTCTCCCTCCATTGGCGCACAGCCCCCCAACTCTATCGTTGTCACATGCGTCATTATCATGGAATTATGAAACTTTAAGGCTCCGTTCATTTCATCAATTCGAGTTTTGTTACAGTAAAAAGTTCTCATAAACAATCACATCTAATTTTTTTGTTATAATAAAAAGCTATCACATAAAGTCACATCTCAACTCGAATTAAACACTCGAATCAGCGAACAAAACGGGCCCTAAATATGAGTTTATGAGAAGTATAACATAAACAAAATTAACGATCGAACTCGTATCTGGATTTCTTAGAGATCGCAAGGCAAGGGCAAGCCACAGATCACAATGCTGTAGGGTTGAGCACGAGAATAAGATGCGGCGTTGGACAATAAATCTAGTAGGTGATGATGTTAAGGAACAAAGAAGATCAGATTTATTTCACACATCATGCATTTCGATTATTTTTATTTTAGTCAAGACATTATTATCAAATTTAGTTTGAAATTATTGGTTTCAACATGTCCAAAAAAAAATGTGTTGGGTTATTGAAAAGATATTTTTTTTTTAAACAAAAATCATCAAGGCAGGGTTTTAATGTGATTAAAAATGTAGAATATCAAAACTCATTTTAAAATGATTTTATTTTTTGTATGAAAATGGAAATGAAAACGTTTTCAATCTTATATAGAAATCAATTTTATAAATGCGTTTGGTAATTTTATCAAGTGATTGTTTTCAGTATAAAAAAACTCATTAATGTCTCTCTCTTTCTCTCTTTGCTCGAGAGAGGAGAAAACGAAAACAAAAAATGAAAAACGATTAAAAATCATTTTTCATTTATCTCTCATTTTATACTAAACCAAAAAATCGTTTTCATTTATGTTTTTGTCTTTAATTGTGTCAAACGCCGTTTTGAATACGTTTTCATTTTTCTTTTCTTGAAAAACATGAAAAATAAAAAACAAAAACAATTCAAAACACGGCAAATTTTTTTTTTAACTCAAAAGGTGTCAAAATGTTTTTTTTTTATGAAAAAAAATTGGGTCATTTATTTTAAATTTAAGCGAATAGGCCATATATTACAATAAAAAGTTAAAAATATGCCATTTATTATAATATTTTCCTTTTTTTTAATGGAGATTATTACATATTACCCCGCCACCTATATTTTAATTTCTATCTCACTCGTGATTATTCTTTTCTATTTTAGTTCTATTTCTCTTTGATTATGTTCTCTGCCTAAATTTTATTTATGTTCTCCAATTTATCCCGATTCTGTATCAAACTGTTTCTCAAATAGTAGTGTTAATTTTAGGATTTAATTGAAAAGGGACAAAGGCTAAACTTATATATATGATTTATTTAAAATACCTTTTATTGAACGACCATGTGAGGATCATGTGTCTTATCCAGTCAAGATTTAACATTTTTTTGTGATAAAATGGTCAAAATAGAGCAAATTGCATAGTTCAAAGCTTCAAGATATGATTTGCAACATTTTAAAATTCAAGGATTAAAACGAGACAAATTGCATAAAACCTTTAAAAATTTTTATGTTTGACTCTGCTCATTACAGTTTTACTTTTTTATTTTTATTAGTACCGGTTAGCGTTGCATTAATTATAGACTGTAGTGATGAAAAAAAGTGCTCTTTTATTATTCAAGAAGGCTTTATTTATTTTATTAATTTAAATTTTTACAGTTAAATTTTTTTTAAAAATATTAGATTAAAATTTTTTTATTATAATTAAGTTTTTTAAAAAAATATTACATTTTAACTCAAATTATAAATTGAGCCCAAATTTTAAGCAAGCGGTCCCATGGTTCAGTGGTCAGAACATTGGACTCTGAATCCAGTAACCCGAGTTCCAATTTCGGTGGGACGTTTTCACAGGAAAACGACACGTAGGTTTTTTTTTTTGCTTAAAGGCCTAAACAGAAAACGACATGTTTTGTCGGACATGAAGGCTTTGATTATAGACTGTAGTGATGAAAAAGAGTGCTCTTTTATTATTCATGAAGGCTTTATTTATTTAATTAATTTAAATTTTAAATTTTAAATTTTTACAGTTAAATTTTTTAAAAAAATATTAGATTAAAATTTTTTTATTATAATTAAAAATTTTTAAAAAATATTACATTTTAAATTCAAACCTAAAAAGCGAACTGAGCCTAATTTTAAGCAAGCGGTCCCATGATCCAGTGGTCAAGAACATTGGACTCTGAATCCAGTAACCCGAGTTCCAATTTCGGTGGGACGTTTTCACAGGAAAACGACACGTAGTGTTTTATTTTTTTTTTCGGCGTAAAGCCCTAAACAGAAAACGACATGTTTTGTCGGACATACAGGAGAAATCACTTCTAAACTTACTAATAATTTTTCATCTGTCAATCATTCGCTTTTTTTTCGCCTCGTCGGAGAAGGACAAGAAGTCGAAGAAATCTGGTGAATTCTCTCTCTCTCTCTCTCTCTCTCCCTCTATGTCGATTTCAGTTCCTCCTTCTTTGGTCGAGCCCTTAAACGGTGTCGTTTCACAGCCGTTTTGGAGCCCGGCTTTCCTGCACTTTCTGAATCCACTCAAGCTACTTACTAAGTTATTATTATTATTATTTTTTTAAGACATGCCCCAAAAACATACTCTGTTCTCTAGTTTCTAAGTGGAGATTTTTTAAAGGAATTAATAAATTCAGGCATTATATTTCTTTTATCAGTGGGTATTCGTTTCATTTGATTTTACTTGAGGTGAATAATTTTGAAAAAAAAAAACATTATCTTTACGTCGATGGGTATTCGTTAAATTTAATTTTAGATGGTTAATTATTAAGTTTATTTGTCTAATTCCTTGTGAGGTAATTAATTTCCGATGAAAAAAAGCGCAAGTATTATGTTAATGCTCATATAAAAATTGATTTTTGTGAAATTTAATCTCTCTTTTTTAAGCTTTATTTAGTTGTTCCCATTACAGATAAAAGATTTTTCACAATGTCTTGGTGCACAATCGAGTCCGACCCAGGTATGATGTTCCTGCTGTTTCATGTTTTTGTTTTCTGTAACTGATTTTCATGAGCATCTCTTGTACTATAAGGTCTTATTGTGGTCAAATAAACTTATTTGATGGCTCATTTACATGTTAAAGATGTTGGAGTTAAAGGATAATGCTAACTCATTTTTGTGCTTTAGATGAAGTGATTCTTTTTTACAATGGTGAAGAATGTCAGTTTTTATTTTTCTGTATGGCCTGGACTGTTAAAGTGTTGCAGCTTGATGTTTTTCTGTATATCCTCTCTCTCTTTTATGTTTTGCACATTCGATTTCATGGGGATTTTTTTTTCTTTTTTCTTGTACCTACTGTTTAACAGTTATTTTCTATGAATTTGCCCTCTCTTTCATTAATCTCTTTTTTCAGCACAAGGACCTAAAATTTTTGGCATGCTTCATAAAACAGTGTCTATTATAATTTATAAAAGAAATTCTAAGGCATGTGTTTCTGTTTCAGGGGTGTTTACAGAACTTATCCAGCAAATGCAAGTAAAAGGCGTGCAGGTATGCCTTCAACAATTTATACGGAGTCACTGACATTATCTTTTATGTACTTCTGCCAAAGTTTTATCTTGTCATTGCTGTGTTTGTTTGTTAAAAAGTCAATTTCATGAACAATCTGAACAGATCCCTTTTCTCTCAGGTAATTTGGAAGGAAAAAGTTTATTCTTTTTAAGTGAGAATCAGTAGACCACTGTAATTTATCATGTGCTGATGCATCATTTGTTACTTTTTTCTAAAGGACACTTGTAATACTCTCCGTTCCAGTTTCAGAACTACTGGATTTTTAATACAATGTACTATGTAGTTAACCGAATAACATCCAAACCATGAAGGTGAAGCAGATCTCTCAACTTTCCATAATACCTTTCTCATACGTAGTGGGGGTTTTTTTTTTTTAAATAAATAAATTGCAAAGAGAATTACATTGAAGTTGTTGTTGCTGTGCGTGAAAATGAAACTTTAGGCCTTTTTTTTTATTTTTCATTCTCTTCTTATATTCTAAAGCTATCACTTAGTGTAGCAAACAGCCTGATGCAGCACATAAATACTCTATTAGAAGCCTGATGCCTGGTTTCGAGTTTGAGATATGATTGGTTAGTGTGTACACGCGAAGATTGTGATTGTACATGTGAATACATATTCGCCTTAACTTAATGAGTTGGTCCTAATCATTTGTTATGCAGAAGTTCAATCTTGGTTTTGGCATCAAATATGATGTTTACATTTGAAAAAGTTAAATTCAAATACATAAAATTTACGCTTGCTTACTTTAAACACATGTTCTCAGTGGAGGTTCAGTCATGTAAAATTTTCCTATAAATTGCTGATCCGAAACCAAATTTACATTTTCTTTTATTCTTCATTTAAAGAATTTCTTTAGAACAAACAAGTAAATGACAAGTTTGAATTCCCATCCGGAAGCCTTCCATCTGGCATTGTATTTCCCCTTCCATATTACTATTTAGCACTTCAATCACAATTTTTTCTTCCAGTTATTAAACTGTTTAGTTATTGATGTTTTTCAGTTAATTTAGCATTGATATTACAGTTAAAATTATGAATGGCGTTAAGTTAAATTCAAATACATAAAATTTACGCTTGCTTACTTTAAACACATGTTCTCAGTGGAGGTTCAGTCATGTAAAATTTTCCTATAAATTGCTGATCCGAAACCAAATTTACATTTTCTTTTATTCTTCATTTAAAGAATTTCTTTAGAACAAACAAGTAAATGACAAGTTTGAACTCCCATCCGGAAGCCTTCCATCTGGCATTGTATTTCCCCTTCCATATTACTATTTAGCACTTCAATCACAATTTTTTCTTCCAATTATTAAACTGTTTAGTTATTGATGTTTTTCAGTTAATTTAGCATTGATATTACAGTTAAAATTATGAATGGCGTTGTGAGGTCTTGTTATATTTTAACAGGTAGAGGAATTGTACTCGTTGGACCTTGATTCTCTCAATAGTCTATGGTAAGCTGCCCGCCCTCTAGATTTTGTTTTCTAGCCAGATATCCACATTCTCATTGTAAAAATGTTTAAAATATTTGTAATTTATTGTACCACTGCTTTTTATTCGCCCCTCCATGGAATTACAGGCCTGTATATGGGTTGATTTTCCTATTCAAATGGCGTCCAGGGGAAAATGACGACCGGCTAGTAATCAAGGATCCGAACCCTAACTTGTTTTTTGCAAGCCAGGTTAATCCCTCGATATGTTGGATTGCATATTTCGTTGTGAGGTCTTGTTATATTTTAACAGGTAGAGGAATTGTACTCGTTGGACCTTGATTCTCTCAATAGTCTATGGTAAGCTGCCCGCCCTCTAGATTTTGTTTTCTAGCCAGATATCCACATTCTCATTGTAAAAATGTTTAAAATATTTGTAATTTATTGTACCACTGCTTTTTGTTCGTCCCTCCATGGAATTACAGGCCTGTATATGGGTTGATTTTCCTATTCAAATGGCGTCCAGGGGAAAATGACGACCGGCTAGTAACCAAGGATCCGAACCCTAACTTGTTTTTTGCAAGCCAGGTTAATCCCTCGATATGTTGGATTGCATATTTGTTGCCTTCTTCTCTCTTAATTGTTTCTATGGTCTCCTTTAGGTTATCAACAATGCTTGTGCAACCCAAGCAATCTTGTCCATACTGTTGAACTGTCTCGAGGTCGACATTGGGCCTGAACTGTCAAAATTCAAAGAGTTTACCAGGAACTTTCCCCCTGAACTCAAAGGTTTGGCGATAAACAACAGTGAAGCTATTCGTGCAGCGCACAATAGTTTTGCGCGACCTGAGCCTTTTGTTCCCGAAGAGCAGAAGGCTGCAGGTAAAGATGATGACGTGTACCACTTCATAAGCTATTTGCCTGTTGATGGCATGCTTTATGAGCTTGATGGTTTGAAGGAGGGACCCATTAGCCTTGGACCGTGCCCTGGTGACCGGGATTGGCTGCAGATGGTGCAACCCGTTATCCAGGAACGGATGGAAAAGTATTCCAAGAGTGAGATTAGGTTCAATCTTCTTGCAATTATTAAGAACCGGAAAGAGATGTATACTGCTGAACTCAAGGAGCTCCAAAGGACGAGGGAGCTTGTTTTACAGCAGCTAGCTGCCGCACGGATCGAGAGACCCGTCGATGGTAATAAATTTGAAGCACTGAACAAATCTCTCTCGGAAATAAATTCTGGGATCGAGGCTGCCACCGAGAAGATCTTGATAGAGGAGGAGAAATTCAAGAATTGGAGAACCGAGAACATTCGCAGGAAACACAATTACATACCCTTCTTGTTTAACTTCCTCAAGATTCTTGCCGAGAAGAAGCAGTTGAAACCCCTTATTGAGAAAGCAAAGCAAAAGGCAGGAGACACTAGGTGAAGAGTGTCCTTTTTTCTTTTTTTTTTTTTTTTTTTTTTTTTTTTTAAATTTAAGATGAATTTATGGTTTTTTTTTT